CGCGCGATGGAGGGGATAGGGGTAGCGAGTGGGGGCGGAATGGGCGGGATCAATGGTTTCTCCTCCGTTGACGGTTCTCGCGGTGCAGAGCGCAGGTCGCTTCGAACGATCCGTACGAGAAAGGAAGGGGAGGGGAAGAGACGCGGGGTGATGCTCGTGACGCTGACTAGCGCGAACTTTGGCACAGCTCGCGAAAATTTCTCACTCGGCTTTTCGCGGAAAACTCGGACGGCTCTTGACACGGCCAATCGGCTTGAATTATGACTGATGAAGTGCCGTTCCGGATTAATGGTGAAAACCGGCTGTCGAGGCTCGGCTCGCACCCGGCGCGCCGCGGGGACGCGAATTCCTGTTGGCTCTATGCAGGAGGCTGAAATTGGAGGCGCATGAAATTGTTGGAATACGAGTAACTTTGGTTGCATATTTGTGTCGTGCGATTATTTATCTATCAGTTCGGAGAAATATCAGCTGAGATTTGCAATCTTGCGAGTTTAAATAACATTCGATTCGAAGCATCGAGAACGCTACTTTCGGCAAATATCTTTGATTTCAAGAATACTCTGAGAATATCCGAAAGAGTAACATATAATTAACTTCCAAGATTCCAGAGATTGAGAATATTCTCAAAAGACTGTGTCATACAGAATCTGACACCCTGCAGAAGCTCTTAAACTAAACGTACCGCGAGCGTCACGCTCTTATCGCGAAAAGCAGCTTGGTTTTATCGGTGGGTGTGCGGCGAGACCGGTGAAAATCCAGCAACGTGTCAATCAGCATCGTTCTCGACAGCGAAGCTTCGAGCAACGTCGATCGTCCCCACCCCCCTGAAACCCCCGCTCGACAACCCGGTGCCGCGGGGAGGGTGGTGTTAATGGGCGTACTCGCGGTTAACACCCTTAAACGCGCGGTGGTGGGGGCCTTGCGCGCGCGCGAGAATGAGAGAGAGAGAGTCGAGGGAAGAACATCCGGAGCGTTGTGTGTAGAATCCGTGCATGGTGGGGATAACGAAACAGAGAGAGAGAGAAGCATCGTTCGCTGAAGGGAAACAGGGAACGTCGGAAAAGGCGTCGAGAGCAACGCCGCTCGGATT